ACTGTGGTTATTTCCATTCTACTGTATAGATTTAGGAATTAAAAGAGGGTCACTTGTATTTATTATGGTTCTTTAAACCTTCTAATGCAGTTGAAAATTATTAACTAGTTAAAAATTATAAACTTAGTAACTTAATTAAAAAAATTAATATCCTTATTTTCATATTCCTTTTTGGGTTTGATATGGACTATTTTTGTAAAAACGGTACTTATGAAGAATTGAGCTCATTTTTATTTTACTGAATATATTAAGCTGTTTGAATAGTCACACTGTATATTTTATGATACTTTAAACTTTCGACTACAATTTGACAAAAACCCCAATTGATAAAAACAAACTGATATCCTTATTTTGAGGTTCCTTTTTTGGGTTAGATATATAATATTTTTGCTTAAAATGCGTTTAATAAAAATTGAGGTTATTACTCAAAGACGCTTACGTTGTATATTTTATGATACTTTCTACTGTAGTCTAGAACAACCGATTAGAAAAATTAAAAAAATACTGAATCTGAAATTGAGGTTTCTTTTTTTGGGGTTAAAACGTAATTTGTTTTTTAATCTGCAGCTGTATGTTAATTCAATTGTACAGTCAATCAGCCATAAAAAGATTATCACACTTGTGTATTTTTGATAATTTAAACTTTCAACCACTATTTAGAACATCTCATTAAAATTAATTACGTTCTTGCGATATTTCTGTTTTTTGGTTATTAATGTGATATTTTTAATCAAACTACAGCTATGGTCAATTCGTTATTAAAATATTATCCTACTTGTATGTTTCATTTTTGAAAATAACAATACGTTATGTGTTTGTTGAAACTGCATATATATGCGAATTGAATCTCTGGAATTTATAAATTCTCCTTGAGATCCATCACCATTTTAGCTACTGAACCAAACGAGCATTTTATGGCTTTATGCCAATGACTTTTTGTCAGTAGAAAATAGTGAGACTAAGCAGGCTTGTAAGGGTGGATCTGCGTATTCGTTTCTTTTGAAATTCTTGTGAAACAAAGGAACAAGTAATGCACACAAGTTATGTTTAAGTATTCGAGAATTCGAAAGTAGGGATAAGAGAAATAACAAAATGACAGAGAGAGAAAGAGANAGAGAGAGAGAGAGAGAGAGAGAGAGAGAGAGAGAGAGAGAGAGGAGAGAAGAGAGAGAGAGGAGAGAAGAGAAAAGAGAAAAGAGAGAGAGAGAAAGAAAGAGAGAGAGAGAGAGAGAGAGAGAGGAGAGAGGAGAGAAAAGAGAAAAGAGAGAGAGAAAGAAAGAGAGAGAGAGAGAGAGAGAGAGAGAGAGAAAGAAAGAAAGAAAGAGAGAGAGAGAGAGACAGAGAGTGAGAGAGGGAGAGGGAGAGACAGACAGACAGAGACAGAGGCAGAGACGGTTAAGTTGTATATTTTATGATACTATAGTTAAGACCAACTGTTTAATAAAATAAAGAAATACTGAATCTTAATTTACGTTTCCTTTTGAAACAAGCAACAAAACAGTGAAAATCAAGCAACAAATCAAATGAGCATTTTATGGCTTTATGTCAATGACTTCTTGTCAGTAGAAAACAGTGAGACTAAGCAGGCTTGTAAGGGTGGATCTGTTTATTCTTTTCTTTTGAAATTCTTTCGAAACAAAGAAACAGGGAATGTGTCGTGTATAAAAGTTGTAAATTTTGGGAATTCGTTTTAAACAACGTCATCGTGATGCCATTACATAAGTCGAGGGCAAGTGTGCCACGGGGACGCCGGCTTCTATCAGGATTTATAACGGTTTCTCCTTTTACCCAAGCCCGTGAACATTGCATTCGGCTTTGAATTCCATGCATTCGAGGGGCCGTGTGAAGATCGATTTCACGCGGTTCGGCGTTTGCTTCGAATTTAGAGAAAATACCGGGCCGACAATGCTTCATGAAAATTCTTAATTGTTGGATTATTTGTCGCATTTAAAAGAAGTCCTGTTGAGGACGAGGAAGGCCCGCACAGCCTACGTGGCAAAGTATATAATATTATTACATCACATCTCTCGACGACGTTGGTTCATTGTTAGTTGACAACAAATCGACAACATAAATATGGAACAGTCAAGTTTTTAGAATTTTTAACAACGTCACTTTGGAACTCTTGCCAAATCGAAAAATTGATTATTTTGTTATAGCCGCTGAAAATTATGTCATGTCGGCGAAACAAGTATCTGTATTTGCCATTGTAAGTATTTGCCAGACTGCCGATTAAAACTTGCTTGATATGATATTAAGCTGAAACATGACACCATGGAGGATTTTATAACCGGGACTGACAAATATCATATTCTTGGTCGAAAAACCCATATATTGATTGAACGGTGTTGCACTTTAAACTGTATTTAGTGTTATTACGCTTTAATGTTAAATTGTGCGTATTTGTTGGCAGCAATGTGACATTCCGACATAAAGTAAGATAGAAGAAGGGGATAGATAGAAAGAAAGAGATGGCAAGAGGAAGAAACTGGGAAGGAGGTAAAAAAAGTGAGAAAAGAGAGAGGGGTGAGGGAGATATAGATAACAAAAAGTATGCTAAAGAAAAATAGGAAAGAGTGTAAGAGAGAGTCAGACGAACAGAGCAGCTTAACAGAGCCAAAAAAAGATTAAAAAAAATGACCGACAAATGAACGGGACAGAAGTAGGGATAAGAGAGAGAGAGAGAGAGAGAGAGAGAGAGAGAGAGAGAGAGAGAGAGAGCGAGAGAGAGAGAGAAAGAAAGAAAGAGATAAGATAAAGAGAGAGGGTGAGGGAGAGTGACGAGAGTGACGAGGGTGGGAAAAAATAGTGNAGTAGGGATAAGAGAGAGAGAGAGAGAGAGAGAGAGAGAGAGAGAGAGAGAGAGAGAGAGAGAGAGAGAGAGAAAGAAAGAAAGAGATAAGATAAAGAGAGAGGGTGAGGGAGAGTGACGAGAGTGACGAGGGTGGGAAAAAATAATGATAACTTTTTTTTACAAAACATGAATTCAAGAGATGAGAGAGAGAGAGAGAGAGAGAGAGAGAGAGAGAGAAATAAGATAAAGAGAGAGGGAGAGGGAGAGTGACGAGGGTGGAAAAAATAATGATAACTTTTTTTACAAAACATGAATTCAAGAGAGGAGATGTTGAGAGAGGGAGGGAGAGGAGAGAGAGAGAGAGAGAGAGAGAGAGAGAGAGAGAGAGAGAGAGAAGGAGAGAGACAGACAGAGATAGATGCAGAGAGCATTTGAGAAAGAGAGTTTTAGAGGTAATGAGAGAAAGAGAGTTATAGAGAGGTAAAGAGAGAAAGAGAGCATTTCAGAGGAGAGAGAGAGAGAGAGAGAGAGAGAGAGAGAGAGTGAGAGAGAAGAGAGAGAGAAAGAGAAAGTGAGAGAGAGAGAGGAGAGAGAAGAGAGAGAAGAGAGAGAAGAGAGAGAGAGAGAGAGAAGGAGAGCATGAGTAAAAAAATAAAAAGAAACCACGCCTGAGCTAATTTTCACCAAATTACGCAACTGGAACTCCACTTACGTACTGAATCATAGAAGTAGACTTTTTGGGAAAACGATATTAAACGTTTGCCTGCGTCATGAGCCGCTCGCTCATGAAATGACCACATAAATTAAAGGAAGAGGCCTAAAGACTACTTAACAGGAAGTAATTCCATTTTACGCAATTCGCCATGCCCGGGAAATAAATAAAAAAACGGATTCAGACCGTTTAACAAGTTATTATTATATAACAAGCCAAAAGTCACCGAGTTTAGCAATAAAATACAATTGCGGTTGGACAAGATATGCTAATTGGTTTTGTACATGTTTCCAGGTTTTTGTACTTCAGACACAAAGTTGCTAACCACTCGGCTACCGCGGTCCCCCAGACACAAAGTTATATTTCAAAATTGTCCTACACTTCGAATGTCTTAAAATTTAAGTTTGAATAAAAACTAACTTTAAACTTTTAAATTATGTAAACACAGATTTAACAAATCTTATCACATGTTTATCCAATGAAACTCTGACATCTTATCAATTTAAATAATTAATAGCCTTATTCATCAAATTGCCCATATTATTTTTATTTTATTCTTAAATCAACGAGATTAAAGTTAATAAAAGGGATCGTTGAAATCATCAAAACATATTTATAGATAAGATCACAGACCTAATCCTGTAATTCTTACCGACTGAATTGCTCATTATGATAATTACGTAGGTTTTTTTTTTAAACAACTGAGATGATAAATTCTAAAGTTCCTTTACCCTTAAAAGTGATACAAAGGAACAAAGTAGTAAAAACGAGAGCCGAATTAGAAAATATTTCGACAAAAGAGAACATACGTGACACATGGCCGAAAGACCCCTCTATTGTACCGTTTATAGAACCGACAGGTGTTCATGAACATCATCATCAACATCATAAACGTACATATTATTATATGTTTGTTTATAACTATGCCTGAAACATGATAGGTAATGCTTCTATTTAAATGTTGCGCTGTTTTTTTTATTTTTTTTTTATTTTATCTGTATTGTAGCCTTTTGAATTATTCATGCGTTCAATTTTGGCATTCTCATCGTAAAATTGTGAACAAGCTTTACATGATGATTTAAACCTTATGGCAAAAGAGTTGGATTGATTAATCACCCTTGTTAAAATCCTGTTAAAAATTGGAGTATTCAAACAAATAACATCCCTGGTTTAGTCAAATTAACCTTTTAAATTTTGAAAAAAACTCTACTACTCAAATTAAGGATTTAAAAATAATTGGGTGAACGTATTGTCAACTCTCGTGTAATCAATTAAAATTTAATTTAGAAACTAATCTAAAATAATATAAATTGATTGATATGACCCTCATTCAGGCTCACCCCTCGGCCAGATGTTCAGTTCATTCCACCCTTTGAAGAATTGGAACAACAGGATTTCTGTTGTTTTAGAATTTTAACATTGTAAAAATGACTATTACGATTAAATTTCAACGATTTGTCTTAAAAAAAAATATTTTCTTTAATGTCAAAATACCTTCATCATAAGTTGCACTAACTCTCATGTGTTTTCCCCTCGAAACTCTTCATTCTGGAAAACAATATATTTTTTAATTAGTAAATTAAATTTGTATTTTTTTAATCGCTTACTACGTAGAAAAATGGTTGTTTTGCTGTTTGCTAGCAAATCTCATGACATGGTGAAATCATCGGCCTGAAACATCGACCCGACGACACCATAAATTTTTCCATTGATTTCTTATTGTTTGCAATGGCAGAAAAAAAAGTTCAAAGAACCCTTTTTGGTGAATCACATCCGTCGTCGCATAAGGCATTAGTTCAAAGCATCTGTTTGGTAACTCGTATATTGCGTTGGACGAAATTAGTATATACAAGGCAAAACAATTCTTTGATCCAGTCATCAAAAAATTTCAGCCTCCGAAAAAAAAAGGGCAAACATATGGCTTATCTTCAGCCGTTATTTCCGCTAATTAATGTCGTCTAAGAAAGGAAAAAATATTAGGGCAGATGTGTATGTAATAATAGACATTTGCTCGTTTCTATTGACACTGACATTAAAGACGCACAGAGAAAATCTATTACTCGACAGAAAATCTATTATGCGTGCAAATCCTGCTGGTAATCTCTGGCCTGCTTTTATCCTTGTATAAAAAAGAGAAGAAATTTATAAAAGATCCTTTTGTCGTCAAGAACCATTGAAAATTGTTTATAATTTTCACGGTTTAAATTTCTTTTTTAATCATAGCGTTTAAAGAACGCACTGTCCTAAATTCCAAAGATGATCGAGGAGCCGGAGGACAAAGGCTCTAGGAAAAAATGGAAAAGAAACACAACCTCTGAAGTTTGGTAAACGTTCGAAGATTCGTACTATTGTTGTTTCATAAAAACATAAGGGCCAAAAGTCGACCGATGGACGATGAATCACGATAGTACAACGATCGGCAAATAGGAATGAACCAAGGATAAATTAAGTAGGATGGTGATAGCCCATAACAATGAAATGTGGCCTCGACACTGGGAAAATTTTTTCTTCCGCACAGACGTGACTAACAGCTCTCATGATTGTCAAAAGACCTCCATACATTTTTAAACGCTTCATTTTTTTAATATGTTTAAAATAATCCCACAAAGTAGGTGTTAAATTCATCCCAGTACCCTTATGAAGACATTTTTAAATCAATGAATCCAATTTATTTGGATCTTTCTTTTCGTTATATATAAAATATTACGAACAAATCTTGACTGCAAATGTGGAAAGGATGCTGAAGAAATATGTGCAATGGGGGTGAAAGGGCATCGTGATATCCGTTTTCGATTCAAACGTTGCTGAAAGCACTGGCCTTCAAGATTCTTCCTGTAGTCGATGATGCTGAATTACTAGAGCGTGAAAATCATGATTCATATGCTGGATTGCGAACGACAATCGGTAAGATTTGCCGGTTCATAGCACAACAATCAACATCGGCTCAAATTAGCGCCTATCATTCTGGATAAGCATTTTGCAAAATTTTATCGGTAAGCTATGGGTGCACCAAGGCTTGACAGGAGGTTTGCATGAATGTGTTTGATTTTTCAGTTCGTTCCAGTTTGTCAAGGACTAATATCCATGACATTTCCGTTCTATATTAAAAGAAAACCCACACAACTTGATCGAAAAGAGTGTGGCAATGCGACAACAAATTAAATATTCAACATAGTCCATTTTGCTTGGCAATAATTTAAAAAAAATCTTGCCTCGCCCTGCTTAATACCCAGACATCCGCCATTAGGCCTTGGTCTTTTCCAATCAATGGCTAGCCTTTATAAGTGGGAGGTTTATGGACCGACAAACTGCCGACGGCCCTCTGGGTGTTTTCCTTCGTTTTCGGGTCTTTCACGAGTATTTTTTGTTTTAAACTGCAGACGTTTGAGCGTTCTGTATGCATGTATACTACGTCGCTATCCTAAAATATTATCCTTTTATTTGTACCTCAGGTTGTCAACTGCAGAATAGACACAAAATATACTATACATAATATAATCTAAATGTATATATACCATAGAATTCTGGTCATATTCACTCAACCTGAGTACTCGATATTCCTCCAGGCGGAGTCGAACCCACACCATTCTCGCTAATGACTTACTTTTACCCTCCAGATGTCACACACTCACCCCAAAGTACGCCGTATTTCTCGGAGCGGTGTTAAGCAACGCCTTCCTTTCACGCTAATAAATTACATTCATTACAATAAATTAACATAGCTTTTAACATATACTGAATAGGAATGATTTGGCGGGTTTATTTGAAATATACAATCTATAATAATTTTACTAAGTAATTACTCAGAACATTTTTTGATTTTTGAATTATACAATTTCTCTGACTTGAAAAGGTTACAAAGACAATTTTAAAAGGAAAATGGTCTAAGTTAAACATTCATTTAGAAGTCTGTTTCCAACAAAATTCTACATTTTGTAAAACGGAAAACCCCAAACTTTAAGGACTAATTTAAAAATAAACTGCTAAAAAATACTTGGGTCTTAAATTTTAAGTTTTTATGTTAGAATATGATAAAAAGCCCTGTTTATGTGTAGCCCTGATAAAGGGTTTTGTCTTTGTTTAAATGTGTGGTGTCGACAGACAAGAATGAAACATCTACGCAGAAAACAAACCCTTTGAGCCCTGAAGATGATCTCAATAAAGGTCGAAACGTTGGCACGATAAAGAAAATGTTTTTCTAAAACCTACGTCACACCAGACCGCATCTCACGACCTCCAAATAATCTTGTTCAAATAATTAACGAGAATGATAATAATCATATTAAATGTTTATAAATATATTAAATCTCAATAATTGTTTAAACAATGTTCCTATTTTTATGCCATTAAAAAGAAAAGCTGATCAGTCAGTTATTAAACGATAATAACGATTTCGAGAAAAACTTGTCCTTATTGATTTATTTCCGTTTACCTGTGAGTCAGTATTCAAACACACGCCAATCAAAAAGAATAAATGATTCAGAATTTTAGACTAGTAAACTATGTCAAATATTACATTCATTCTTTTATTAGAGAATAGATGAGAATCAAGATCATATGGATTTTCAAATTTTACGACCGAATTTTTAAATTGTGCTCGTTTGGTTTGAAGCCGTTCATATCCATTAACACTTTCTTGCCCAGCGTTGCTTCAGGACAACACGAAATTTAGCAAAATGAGTTTAGGGCGGATGCAGTTTTTCCTTCAATGTTTCATCATGTATATTCATAACAGTGATTTTTTTGGCGCTAATCTTAAATATCTACGTACAACATGGCTCTTCGCCCCTTTATCTTGTACCGGTTGTTATAACTGCCAAACATAAAAGTGTTCATATCCAGTTTATTTTAAGCCTTTCTTGCCCAAAGTTGCTTTAGAGCAACGGCAACGTTGACATGTTTGTTTAAGGTTAGCAGCAACTCTAGCAACAAAATAATGAAAGACCATCCGATATTCATGGCTCCAAGAGACGACATGAACAGGATATTTGAATTCAATTAAAACTTCCAAATAAATCTAGGTACCAAAAAGAATGGTAACGAGAGGAAAACACCTCCTTTAAGAATGGCACCATTTTTGGTACACAGATGGATTAGAACTGAAGAAGGTACGGGGCAGGAGTATTCGTTTCTGAAACCAAATACTCAGAACCCACGGGAAAATACACCAGTATCTTCCAAGCTGAGATTCACGCACTCGAGAGATGTACTCAACTTGAATAAAGGGTACAAAAACAAGGACATAGCTATCATGTCAGATAGCCAAACAGCCGTCAAAACATTAAGCTGTGTTCATCAGTTCCAATTTGGCGTTGAACTGCAATCAAATTAAACATTGGGTACGCAGAACAAAGTCAGCTTCCGCTGGGTCCCAGGACACACGGGTGTAGAAGGCAACGAGAAAGAGGACACCCTTGCAAGGAAAGGGTCTGCTACACCGCTGATAGGACCCGAACCCTTCGGTAGCAAAGGAACTCACACTATCAATAAGTACCTCAGATAGAAGGATGAAAAGAAAATGAGGGAACAATGGAATTCACACATGGACACAAATTCCAAGCTGAGATTCACACAATCGAGAGATGTACTCAACTCAACTTGAATAAAGGGTACAAAAACAAGAATATGGCTATCATGCCAGATAGCCTAACAGCCATCAAAGCACTAAGCTCGAATATTATTAGTTCCAATTTGGCGTTGAACTGCAAAACCAAATTAAACATATTAGGTACGCAGAACAAAGTCAGCCTCTGCTGGGTCCCAGGGCACATGGGAGTAGAAGGCACCGAGAAAGTGGACACCCTTGCAAGGAAAGGGGCTGCTACACCGCTGATAGGACCCGAATCCTTCTGTAGCATAGGAACCCACACTATCAATAAGTATCTCGGAGAAAGACGACAAGAAAATGAAGGAACAATGGAATTCACACATGGACACAAATTCCAAGCTCATTGGGCACAGGCAATCCAACAATCTCCTAACAAATTTCGGAAGAAAAGAAATTACAGAATGTGTCAAAGGAAGCAGGAATAAACTGCGAATCCTAATAGGATTCTTAACAGGACACTGAAAGCTAAATGGACATTTAAAGAAGATTGGAATAACCCAAAACGACACATGCAGATTCTGCAAACAGGCAGAGGAGTCACCAACACATCTACTAACAGATCGCGGTGCTACTTGCCCGCAGGAGGAAGTGCTTTGGGATGTACAAGGTGACCATAGAAAAAATCCAACCATTGAAACCGGGCCTATTAATCAAATTCCTTGATGAAATAGAACTCACCGGTGTGCTTTTGGCAGAGAACGGGGGATACAATAGCTCTTAAAGGGCGCAGTATATTATACCCCGACTATTACATCTACATCTAAATCTAGACGCAAATTCCGTGAGCTTAAGGGTTATTCCTGCTCTGACCGTGTACTAGGCACATTTATTTGGCATAAATCTAAGTTCTCTATTGCTTTACTTACGGTATTTCCAGCAAATCTTTTAAACAAAGATTTGTCTTGTTCTAAGACATTTGGCCATCTAAACGTGTAGATAA